GTGAGTCAGCAATACATAGTTTAGGATATCCTGCTTTGAAACAAGACAATTCTTTATTGCAAAATAATAATAGAATATTGGAAGTAATATTCTCACAGAAATTCATGTGCTTTACTTGTAGGATAGTCTGAAATATTTCCTATTTTGAGGATTATTTTTAGGAGGTTTTATTTAGCACCACTTTGGAACCCTTTGATTCTGTACTAACAGACTGTGGTTTCAGTCAGTATTTACTACATCTCCAAAGCCATCTCCTAGGCAGTCTCCAGCTTTTCCCATAAATTAAAACCTAACCATGAGGAGGTTTACAAAATTCTAAACCAAGGACAGCAGTGGAGACAAAACACTTTATGGGAAAAACAGAGCCCCTTCCTCGAGGGGAAACACACAGAGTGACCACATGAAAACTCTTGCCCATGGTCTGGTAAATGTGCCCAGTTTGCTTCTTGTCTTTCTGCACTTTACAGGATCACAACTGGAATACAAAGACTCACTTATCAGGCTTTCATTTCATTCAGTTACTTAATCAGCAAGAATATAAATCACTCCTTCGGTGAAGAATACTTCAGGGGAAAGGAATACAGCAAGGAGTCACGTTTGTTTGGTTGGTTTTCTTCAACAGCTTTTCTCTCTTCTCTTGTCACATCTCTGCCTTGTGAGTCTCTACTTAAAAAGCAAAGTCAAATGTTCTTTTTACAGTTTAATCTAATCTTTAATGTAGCTGTAGGTTTAATACTGAGGAATAATTACCAAAAAAACATTATACTTTTTAGGAAATATTAAACTTACAATTTATCTTTTAATATGTACTTCAAAGACTATTTGACAAGAATAAATAAATGAGAGCTTCTTGGCAAGAAAAGCTGTGATTTATTAAATATTTTATTCATTCATATTCTTAAGTATTTTCTTGAGAATACCACTAACATCTGGAGCTATGCAGTCTTATCCAAACATTCTGCTCATAGTCAATTAGAAAATTATATCAATAATAATGTAAAATAAATTACCTAGCCTCTCTTCCCGGAGCATAGATTTCCATGTTTGTCAGAGAAACTGTGTGTACAAACAGCACTGTAGTGTTTTTCATTAAGCCTCAAAGTCAATTAAGCTACGAATTGGAACAATCATTCCTCCTTTGCAAAGTATTGATATTTTTCTTGGCTGCTTTCAGGCCTTTTCACTACTCAAGGAGAGATTTATGTTTGACAATTTCTTTCTGATTAAAATGAATCATAACTCTAGAATTCTAATTTCCTCTTTTCGAAGCAAGAAATTATCAAACAGTTTTAAATTGATATTGAACGTCATCGTGCATGAACACTCATTTTCAAGATACCAAATGTAAAGCTATACTGATCTCACTTTTTATCTGCAGCCCTTACATACTTTCTCTTCCCTTTTCTGTCTATATATATGCATGTGTATAAACATTAGATTGCACCAATATAATCAACCATACCCCTCCATAAAAATTATATTTGATAGACCAGCCAGACCAATCACATTAAAACTTGTCACAATGCTTTACACAAGGCAATTACCCTTTATTTGCAATATTAGCAAAATTCTGCTGTAGTTTAGAAAGAAAATAACTGGAATACTGCAGGTTGCAAAGAAATGTCAGTTAACCGAAGTAATTAGCAAGTTTATGTGGGTAATCCCTACTCAAATGGCTCAAACTCCCTATAAAACAGCTCTTCGGGCATAAATTGTTGCAAACAAAGTCCTCTAGATTTGTCTACAACAGCCAGTTAAGATCAGTTTTCATTTGCTTTTTAAACATAATGGCAGCTAATCTGAAAAAAAAAATCTTATTTTCTCCCATTATTCCTGCTTTTTACTCTAAATCTTAACAACTGGATTTTCCCAAGCCATTTAGCCATCCTATTTTGTGTTTATGAACTTGATTTTCAGCTTTCACTACAAACAAATTGAAACTGCATTTTTTGCCTAACAACTGATTTCGAAGTACAACAGGCCCAGAGCAGAGCTGTGTCAGTCTGTGGCATTCCAGACAGGGATGTCACAAACAGACTCACCAAGGGACCCAGCTGGGTGGTTTTACTGTTATTTTATGTACACTGTACTTCATTTTTAAATTCTGCATTACACTAGGTTTGATATGAGTTTGCTTTGTTTTGTTGTGGCTTGGCAGAGGTGCTGGTTGGGGTTTTAAAAATTAGAGTTTTTTCCATATATATTTCAGGCTCTACTTAATACAGGCCATGAATTAGATAACTGTATCAAAATTTGCAATAATAAGCTGCTCTGTTACACACTTTTAACTATTTTCTCTTCTTGCAAAGTATGTGGAACTCTTTTGTATCTACAAAGAATGGAAGAAGAAATATTCTGTGTCAACAGCTAAACCTTGAGTACCAAAGGATACTGTCCCACAGAAACGTCAGCACAGGGTACACACTGCTTTTGGTAATATACATGTTTTTATAGAAATACCAATTATATTACAACAATTTATAGCAAAATTCCACACTTAGGACAGGTAAACACACTAGAACTCTATCTGGCAACAGTTTGGGGGTTTTTGTTATAAGAGCATACTTCATGCAAATGAAAAGAGGTTTGGGAATTCAGTTGAAGAGTAGAAACATATTCATCAAATTTCTACCCCTAAAATTACTGAAGGAACACTGTATTTAATAGTGCAGCTCAGAGACTTAATCTCAAAGATTTACAAGAAAACATGAAACAAGTAGGTAGCACTATTGCTACTGAAAATACTACCTGAGTACCACGAACATGAGACTGCAACCTAACCAGCTGTATTTCTGTTTAAATTGATTCCAAATTGAAAAGCAAATCAACTTCCTTTCAATAGTTTTGCTTTCCCTAGGAACAGAGACAAAATTCTGTGCATGCTTTGAAGCTCTTTCTAGCAGAACAGTTGCAGCTACAGATTGAGAATTCATCCCAATCAGATGCAGAGGTTGTTGGTATTTTTTTAAACTCTTTCCTTTTTAGGAAAGGATTTTTAATTAACAATTTCCTGTAGTTACACCTATAAGCTAAAAATTAATATTTTACATCCATATTTTAATATTAGAAGCAAATCAGTCAAATTAATCTTTGTCTCTTTGTTTTCAGTAACTGATTTTGGGGCTGGTTTTTGTGTTTATTTTCCTCAAGACTGCTTACAATTTGATGTAAATTTTAAGCATCTTGTAATTCATCAACTAATTCTCTCCTGGTTACACACTCCAAGTAATTAAAGTTCAGTAATAACTTATTCTTTCTGCTCCAGCACCTGCATTTCATTTGTTTATTTTCCCAGAGTCATAAATCTGAGGGACTGTCAAAGTGCCATAATATTAGTGCAATAATCAAAGTTAATTAGTCCCTCTCAATAAACAACAACAAAGCCATTACAAAGATGCATTGAAGGTTTTCCAGCTACCAGTTTACAGATGAGACTCTTTTTCTGAACAATTAGAATTTAAAAACTATTAGCAAATAAATGTAGTGTTTCTGAAGTAATTTGACCTTCAATGTTCTTCATTCAATTAACAACTCATTAACTTTTGGTGAGATAATACAGGTATTTAAGACAAATATTCTGAACTCCCATTGTCTTCAAAGTGGTCAGAGATATGGTTAGGATTAAGAGGGTAACGGGATATTTTCAAATAAACGATGTTCACCACTATCTAATTTTAGTTAGCTAAAACCCATATAAACAGCCATATTTAGCTGGACTGGGACTATCAAATTCAAACAGAGCATCACCAAATCCAGTTCTATTGAAAGAGAACAGACACTATGCTGGCCTCTGTTGGAATTCTCTTGGAACTCTATGCTATTGAAATTTTTAAAAAATTTTTAAATAAATTTTTAAAAACAGCTTTAATAGGGTGAAAGCAGCAAGGAACCAACCAACCAATGCTTTACTGTAAATCATTCATATGATCTGGGCAAGAGAAAGAGGCCTAAATCCAAAGACTGATTCTTCTTGAAACTTGTGGTTACAAAAATTAGCAATATTGAAAGCATCACTTATCTGGAAATACACGTAAATAAGCACCATTTTTTTTTTGCATTAATAAATATTATCATTATCTTTAGACTACTTATGTGTAAATATTAATACTACTGAGTGCTCTCCCATGTCATCTGGTAGCAGCTGAAATACTTTGAGAGCTCAGGAAATAAAAGCAAACCACTTATCACTAATTTTAGCTGGAAAGGAATAAAAATCCAAGAATCTGATCCATTGATCTTCCATTCATATAACTGTAGAGATGTCACCACATTCTCTCATGGTAGTCAGCAATCCCAGCAAGCTCAAACAAAAGTAGCCTGCAATCCTTGCTAGCAAATAAATGATTGTGGGAGGAATAAATTAGGACAGCTGAATATGTTTTAATAAAAGCTTTAGAATATAATTTTTTTTAAAAAATAGGGATCAGGGAAAGGAATCAAAGAGCAGCAAGGCAATAGATGGGACTGAAAAGCTGGTGTTTGTATGACAAAAATGGGAGAAAAATGAAAGGAAGTGGGAAGAAGCTAGAAGGAAAAAACCACTATGACAGCCTGGCAGCAGGGCTGCAGAGCCTGATGAACTCAGAAAAGGAGAAACATTCTTGTGTTTGAAAAATACAAAAATGACCCTCTGAAATCTCTCACTATAGAAAAATGATAGGCAAAACAGTGGGTTTTGGAGGACTACCTTTGGGTAGTTATTCACTTTGGTTCTGGAATGTCCTTTTCTATAAATCAAGCCTCAGTGGTTCTTCCAAACACTTTTTTTCCCTTACAAAGCATCCATGAACAACATGGATAACAGTACATCAAACCAACGCTCCTAAGGAATGAAAACCTCTATCGCCCATGCACCAGCGACTGAGCAGGGCATTACCAAATAAGACAAACGACTTCTTGCTGAGATTCTGGCACGGCAGTGCTGTGTGTGAGTGCTGGCACTGCACAGGATGTCACAGCCTGCAGAGCCCAGCCCGTGCCAGGCTCTGTTGTGCACTCACCCATTCCCCCAGGATGCGCTGCACGGCCGCCTCGCCTCGCGCCGGGCTCCTGCAGGCCAGGATAACGCACGCCCCATGCAGGGCCAGGGACTTGGCAGTTTCAAATCCTAGGATAAAACATGGTCTGAGTCACAAACACATCCCAGGAGCAACACAGAGCTATAAAATTACCTGACAACATGAGCCACACATTTAAGTGCAGCTTTGCTACCTGCAGTCTGTGACCTGACAGTCACCTGGCTCAGCTTTTAAGGCACACATGAAGAAACACAGACACCTCAATTTGATCAGGTCTTTTGGACAATAATTGCATGTATTTTGTGCAAAACAGCTTTGGCATCTTCAAAAAACAGACTCAACTTCTCTGCCTACCAGTGTCCTCAGCTGTTGGAAGGGCAGGATTGGATGTGCTCCTTCCCTGTTTGACTGTGAACAATGTGCCGCACAGAGAGACTGAGCAGCCACTGTGCCTGGCAGCGTCACACTGGAAGTGACAGAGCACCCAAAACTAAGCTCAGGGCTTTTGAGGTGCACAGTTGGCCTCAGAGTCATCAATCTGAGGACCACCTGTGGCAGGGGGAACAAAACATTGTTTCACTGTTCAATTCACTAATGAAAAGCTGCATAGAAGTTGGTCCAAAGTAAACTTCACTAAATGGGAAAAAAAAAATCTGTGAGAATTTGCAACAGAAAATGAGGACTTTTGGGAAGAGCAGAATGCCCATGAAGTGCAGAGGACTGAGCCAGAATGTGGGTTTCTACCAGGAGTGAGCTACTACTTATTTGTGATGCAGTTAATGGTATTACTGGGTGTCCATCTCCATGGAAAACTGTGCCAATGACAGGAATTGCCTTCTAGCTGGAAGAGGCATAGCACACTTTAATGAGTTCAATTAGAAAAGCCTAAACTATGAAAGGAAGAATCAAACTGAAATGCCCAACAATTTGAGTATGTAAAGAATTCAAAGAGAAGAGGCATTTGTTTTAGCTTTAAGACATTTAAAGCATGTTCATGATTTCCTGTTAAAAACTGTTTACCAAGAAGCCTGTGAAGATGGGCTGTCTCACTTCCAAAACACCCTGGAGCAACAAAATCCAGTTACAGCACAAAACATAACTTACATTATAGAAACAACACACACCAAGACAAATTTATACAATTTTCTGCAATTACATACTTACAGTATTTAAGTCCAAGCAATTTTCCTGTATTTCTTTTAAAGCCATTCACTGCACCAGGCAACTTTAATTACCCGGATAATTCATTGCATGCACATGAATTCAGCTACAGCATATGCAAAGATTTCCCTTGTTCCTAATTCCACTTTAAGCATATTTAACTAGAATTTTTCATGTAACTAATGTAAGATGTACCATTAGCTAGCTCTTATGCTTCTTGTTTTGCACAAGAATACTTATTTTGACTAGCTGACTGTATTATTAAAAACCTGTTGGAATGCCTGGGAATAGTTTTGCTATTGTTAAACAAAGATTGGAGCTGGTGGCCAGATTAATTAGCAAAGCTTGATGGTGTTTTGCTAACTCTATGTCACACTGTGCAAAATAATCAACTGTGCAAAATAATAAATTCCATGCCATTCTCCCCTATAGTTAATAACTTCATACTCATTATAAACTAAGTAAGTTACATGCTGTGAGTTTAGTTCATTTTATGCCATTTTGACTCTTCCCTGCAAATGTGGAGAGCAGTGTTAAGCACTTCTCTTTAGGATGTCCTTGCTCTTCTCTGAGCTTCAAAGAGCAATTCTTCACCCTTAGGCAGACACGTTCTGATCTTCACATGAAATCATGTGCTAGAAAAACCTCCATCTGAATGCTGCCACAGGTGAAGTGCTGACATGTCTCCCCATCACACTTATTTTAAACTAGTTCACAAACACTCCTGCACTTTATTTAGGACAGTTAGATACACATGCAACTTCTAACTGGAACATCTGAAGGAGGAAATTGGAAGCACCTCAGTATCCAAGTCTTTTTACAGCTTTAGCCCTCTGGTTCTTCTGCAAAAATTAATGCTTCTTTCCGTCCCCCACCCAGTATCAAAAAGCTTAGACAGGTAAAGCTTCCCTTTTCCCTTAGACAGGGAAAAGCTTCTAGCAGGCTGGAAAACATTTCCTGTCAAATTCACTGTGTTAAACTATGTCTGTTAACAGCATTTATTCTTCAGCAAAATGCAGCTATATTTTCAATATACAGTAAATTTTAAAACCTCAGCCTAACACATGGATTGAGTGAAGTACAAAACTATTTAAACTCTATAAATAAAATCTTACCTCTCTATAAAAACTACCATTCAAGCACAATCCAGACTGAATGTGGTTTCATACACCAAAGTTAAACCACAAAGATCATAAACACCCAAACAGTAAAATCTTGAAAAATATCAGAGCAGGGTTACACAGAAAGAGAAGCCTAAATAACTGTGTAAGGGACATGCATAATTAAGGAACCAGAGCAATTTTAATTCTACCCGCAAAATACCTCTGTGAACTTCAAAAGAAGTAAAGATTTTCTTAATACTTCACTTAATCTGAGACTGCCACCACTTAGGGACACAGCCCTTTCACAGTGAGGGGACACTAACAGCAATGACATTAGTTTCTTTTCCAATAAATAAGTGATATTCTCCAGGGGTGAATCTTCCCTGTACCACAGCATTAGGCTATTGCAGAGCTATTTAACCTAGGTAAAAGAGACAGCAGAGCTCACTGCCAAGAAGTTACATACTAGTTGTGGGGGTTTTAAAAGTAAGGAAAACTACACTAGAAAAACAGCACAGAATTACAGACTTGGGCATCAAGGTCAACTAATTACAAGGAGTAAAAGAGACTCTTCCCCCAAATGTGACAGGAGAATAACATACTTAACTAACATCCACTTTGGAAAAGTAATCACTGCATTGTATGGAGTATTTAAATAAACTATTTTGAGCAAATGTTTTATAAAACTCATTTCCAGCAATTGCCCTGGAAATCTCAAGTTTGTGCTGAGATCGACTACTCTTGCTGCTGGTGCTGTGGCTGAACGAGCTCTAATCCGACACTCAGAAGTGAAAATCCTCTTTAAGAATAAGACATACATGGGGATAAACATTATGGCACAGTTCTACATCACCAGCTAACCCAAAGACTGGGAGCAGAACTAACAAGAGAGCTACAAGCACACGGGATTTGCTAGAGACATTTAAAACCCTTCAGCCCTTTCTTACAGCTTTCGTTCAGAAAGACTCAGAAATTGGCCCTCAATTTCATTCTTCTTCTTCTACCATGATTGTTCAATACTCTCACATTCCTGGCTATCTGCAGTCGACTGCTGCCACTGAATTTGGGTGCAGATTTTCAGCTAATGGTGTCGATTAAGAAGCAGTTAGCATCGCTCAATTACTGCCAGCTACACTGAGTCAACACACACCAGATGAGAACAGGGCTCTGTCCAATTGTGCAACCTCTTCTATAAAACAGAGAAAATGATTCACTGAGTGGAAAAGTATTTCAGTGATTTCATGTTTAAACAGAGAGCATACAGTCCATCAATCACTGGGGGACATTTTGTAAGGAATTGGCACCAGCTCTTTACATGTTTTAAAACATTCCTTTATTTCAAATATAAGGAAGTTTGAATACACAAGAAAAATAAAAAACATTTTAGACAATAGCAGGTTTTCTTCAGCTTCTCTACCTTTGACCAAATACTCCAGGATACCATGGAGTTGTCCTTTTATAAACACATTTGAAACACAATGATGTCATCATCTTTTGAACAGCTCAGTTCTCAGTGTAAAAGCCTACAGGGTTTGTTTGCAACAAACAGTCCTTAAAACACAAAACAGACTCTCATCCCGACTGCTGCATCTCAGCAAACAGACTGTTTTCTCATTCTGGGGACTCAAAAGAACTACATATAAACAAAAAATATGCTTGTGTCCTAGAAATCACTTAGATTTCTTCAAATTTGGAAGACCTAAACACCAGTGAGAGTGAATCAGTAAATTTTATTCAACACTTCCTTAGAAGAGGAGTAAAGATGATTCAAATGTGCTACAGATAAAGTAATAAAGAATTCTTTTCAGGCTGAAATACTCCAACACTGAGGTGTGATTTAGAGAAGAATCTTCTGCAACCAGGATCGCTGCTGCCTGTGCTGGTGGATCCAGAGTGCAACATCCAACAGAGCTTGCACAGGCACATGCAAAACATCACATCATTGACAAACTCACACCTTCAGAGCCAAAAAAAGTACCACACATTCCACATCAGGATTGCTTGGCCTCACTCTGCTTCAGTACGGATATTTAGGATAAAATCTTAAGATGCATTATTCAACTTGCTCCAAATGCAAGTTTTCAAGCAACTAAAGCACTAAGATGTTATAAGAGACTCAATTTAAAATAAGCAATTCCCACAGAATACTAATGCTGCTGTTGTTTCCATGTGTTTACAGGTACAAGGCAATGACACTACTGATAGTTTTCACTGCAAAGTCTGATTTTATATGAAAGATACATCCTGACTCTCCCTTTGTGTGTAAATTGGACAAACGTGTTTTTCTTGGAGTCATGAAGCACAGAAAAAGCCAACACAAACGAAACAGGATGAGTAACGCATTGGTCCTGTTTTCCATCTAACCAACCCAAAACTATACACTTACTCCTTACACTTTTTTGCAATACACTACCCTGGGTAAGGCCAAGTTACTCTTAAGACTAAGTGCACTGCTGCTGTCACTGACAAAACCCTAAAATATTTTTTTTCCTTTGAAGGGAGCGTGATACTAAACAAACATTGTATAACACCCTTAAATTAATGGGATTATAAACAACTGTTGCATGTTGTTGCTGTAAAAAATTTAAAATGCATCATTTGAGGGTAAGAAAGCTGAATTTGTGCCTGATGGTGCTGCAAGTAAGCAAGAATCCAGCACAGAGACCATGTCAGGCACATGCATCACAAATATGCTGCAACTAAGAGCCATGGGGTTGCAACCAGACCTGGTATCTGCTCCAGCTCACTGCCCAGACATCCACCAACCCAAACTGACGATGTCCTGACACCAGACATGAAGGAAGCTGAGTCCTTTCACCTGTTTC